TCTGTCTGTGAAGGCATTCAAGGCCAGGCTGGGAGAGGCCCTGGGCAACCTGGTCTAGTGGGTTACAGCCGCATGGCAGGGGGTTGTAACTGGATGGGCTGTAAGGTCCCTCCCAGCCCAAGACATTCTATGATTTTATGATCCCAGATCCTCTGACCCCATGCACTGGCCTTTAAGGAGAGGAGGAAAACAGATTAAAGATGCAATACATGCTTGCTGGGAAGCAAAGAAGGGAGAATTAGCAAGAAAATGTTTTGTGTGAGTTTCTGCCCTGCTTTAGGAGGCTTTGCAGCCCTGTGCAGTGAAATCTGTCTCCTGCTTTCCCCACCTGGCACATCTCCCTCATGACTGTGCCAGTGTAAGAATAGGTAGAGCACAAGTAATTAGTTAAAACATCCCCAACTGCTCTGCTTGAGGGGGCTCCGAAAGTGCCCCCAGGTGGGTCTTCCTAAGAGAAAAGCCTTCAGTGTGACACAAGACACATTTTGTACAACTGTACAGATAAACTTGAAGCAGGAATCCAGTCTCTATTTTTATATATGCATCAATTTGCACTTCTAAAAACAAGCAGCCTGTCAGCAGGCCATGCTTAAATCCTAGCAGCTCTCTCCATTTACACACAGAGAAGCACCCGAGCCTGTACTTCCTAACTCCAGCAATGCCACCCAAATCTCTGGATCCTCTGTGTGAGGAATACGCGCTGCCCACTTCATGAGGACAACGGATCCTTGCAGACACCCAAATATAATGTACTCTATATCAGTGTAACACACAACAAGGTACCCTGTGCTCCCCGTGGGGTCCTGACCGCCCCGTTAGCCCTGCGAGGGGTCTGCTCTCAGCAGGCAGAGCCCTCCTGGGCCCGGCGGGAGCTGGACAGGGCCCAAGCACGAGGCGCATCGTCTCCAAGATACAGTGGCTTGGGGCAGCTTGTCCCAGACAAAGAGCATTATGAGGGAACCACTGCTGGAAATTTCCATCCCTTTGTTGGGTGGATGCTGTGTAAATAAATGCATTCCTAAGATTTTTCATAATCCCGGAAAGGCCCGTAAAAGAAGCTCTACAGCCTGTCAAATCGCTAACGTTCATAAATATTATTCCTCCGCCGCTGAGCACACGATGTACAATGGCACAGAACTGAATGCAAGAAACGTATGCCAAAAGCTTTCTAAGGAGAAGTCTGCGTGTTTGGATACTGCGTGTACAGATATTTCTTCTGTTTTGTCCCTATTACAGCTCGGATTTGTGAATTGCTCGCCTTGGTTCTAAACACTCCTTACCTGACAGGCAATGTTGGCAGCAGCATTTAGCTCCCTGTGCCTGGTGCGATGTGCAGGTGCTTTGAAAACACTTATGAATTAGCACGCTGATGTAAACGTGTAAGCAACCTCTTAATTCGATTCTCCTGTTTTCCCTTCTGTCTGAATCTTACTGTAAAAACAAACAATTCAGGAAGATCCTCTTACAGCAACAGTGCCTCACTCACTCATCATGTACAAACTGATAGAGAAGGTATTCTGTTCACCCGATGTGCTGGTAGCATAAATACGGGAGTTACTTGCACAGCAGAGAGCAGCAGCGGCAGTCAGCAAAGTGAGATCTTCCCACAATAAGCCAGCAGCTTCTCCCATTAACTCTGCCCTCTCACACTCAGTTAATCTGGATTTCTAAGCTGACTTCTGTGCTTAATGCAGCTCAAATTCTATAAAAATTTAGAATAGAATCTGACTTTCACTTTGCCAACACAACATTTATTGCCTCTCTCCTTCATTTCTGAGCACACTCTGATTTATCTAATGCTTAGGTTTTCCCAACAGCTACACCCATTTTCTTTAGGATGAAGTTATCAATTTTGGAAATCACATCCCCTACTAAAACAGATCTGCTGGAAAAATACTGAAACAATACAGAAATAATACTTTTTTTTTTTTTCTTCCAGTACTTTTTATTTCTAGATCTCAAATTCCTAGACAATAGAGAACATTTAATATGTAAATCGATAAAACATGAAATGTACGTTTTTAGCGTTTGCCTTCTATTTGCACTGTTACTATTTATTTCCTACATATGCTATTTTTCAAGTTGAAAATATATTTAAAAAAATACAATGAAATCAGCCTAGAAGCCAAACCAAAACAACACCCCAAACAGCACGGTCTCTGTAAAGTAAACCTGTTTTTGGCCAGCAAAGTCTTTAACACTCATCTGTTTGGACGCTGTCGCAGCATCTCCAGCTCTGCAGTGCTCATCTGATAGGCAAATTTTTAGGATCCTCAATACTCAAATACAACTCGGGGGCTGCTCTGCCTAAGCTTGTCAGTTTCCAGGACGAAGGAGCCTGCCTCAGCCTTTTCTCAAAGAAAGATGATTATGGTAATTGTCTCTCTCAAACTGGAACCGATTGTAAAAGCTGATCACTGTATTTTAATATAAAATACTGTTGACCAAGGGCAGCAAACTTTAAAACCAATGAATAATAAACTGCGATCCCAGAGACCAAAGACCAGTAACTTATCTGCTGCGCAAACAACCACACAAATCCCTCACATTTATTTTTTCCAGGCTTTCAACTTTGATTAATAACATGGCAAAAGCACACAAGTCTCAACCATATTAACCACAGCTATATTTTCAGCCCTACTGACACGAACGCTTTAATAAAATAAAAGGAGAAGGAAAACAGAAGAGGTGTTTCATTAGGACATGAGGATTACTAAAACCACTGTGTGGAGCATTTGTCAGGAGGTGGCACGGGAAGAGTTATTACTTACATTTTAGCGTGTCTCTAGGACGCAGAGCCAGAGGCTCCCTCGGTGAGATATGTTTGCTTTGGAAAAATATGAAGTAATCAGGCTGCCTGAGCTCTTCTAGCTGACACGTTTTTAATACCAAAATGCAAACCCAGCTAAGAAGTTTGCAGGAAGCACTACAGAGAAAACTGTTTTTCCAGTTTGGTTAGGAAGCCCAGCAACACTGAAGTGGTGTGAGGATCAGAAGTTCTCAGATTAACCTGCCAGTTCTTTTTACAGACAGATACAAAGCATACATATATGAAGCATGGTTAAAATAATACACCAAGATGCAACCCCCCCCCAAATCTGTACTTGTGTCTGCTTACAGAAGCTTACAACCTAAATGAAAAGCATTTATTAAAACACACCAAAAAATGGCTGATGTGATCAGGAAACCAATGTCGTGCCAATAAAATTGCAGCTACGAAACAAATCCAAAGAATAATGCTTGCTAATGCAGAGTGCTTGCATTTTAACATCTGTAGCTTCATTGTTGTGTGAGACTGGGACTGTAGTTACATCTCTCCCAGTCTCCTCACTGGCTGTACAAACGGCAGGGGTATTCCATAGATGAGTTTCTAAATTCGGTGAATTAAAAGCATTTTACTAGCAGTAAAAAATAAATAATATTGGGCTGAACATGTCATTTGACTTTTTCATCCTGCATCTACCTGCCCACACTCTTGCTCTAGCGGCACATTTATAATGATGCCTTTGCCAACAGACCCAAGCTTTTAAAATCAAGATAACGTGCAATGCTGGTCACAGATTTTCTACTTCTAAACCACTAACAGGAAGACAGTCACCCTCCAAAACAGGGGAAGTAGAACAAAGAGATCCAGGCATGTAATACAGTAACAGTGACCCTGAAATAACTACTCAGGATGGCACCCAAATATGATAGTAAAGGACGCATTAGAAACACCTCGGCACCGCAGACGGGATGCGGCAGCTTCGAAAAGAGAAGGGCAGACCAATAACAAATACCTTGTCACACTTTCATCCTGAGATGAAAGCATCGTTTCTGCTTTGACCTTTTTTAGAATCTGTAACACACAACACCTGGGGCAGCCGAGATACAAGGGAACAGGGAAGGGGCACGCTGCAGCTTATTCCTACCCACCAGCAAGCGACAAAACACGCAGAAAATCTCTAAGCTGCACCAGAGAAAGCGAGAATCTATGCACAGCCCTACATGTGAGCTTCATTAACAAAGATATTTTTTCCCACCCGAATTGCACACATGCAAGTGTAAACCATTTCTGCACGCCCCCACTACCCGCTCTGACATCGAGATTTTGGCTGTCCCGGGCTTGGCTGTCACTAAGACAAACATATTTCACCACAACTTTTTTCATTCAAAAAGAGGCAAACTGGATTATAGCAAATAACCTTTAAGATAATTAACTGACAATGCTGCAACTAGCATAAAATCTTCCTTCAGGCGACCCCTAATTTAAGTATTACTGGCACAAAGTGGAGACAGATTGCGCATCACCACCGCAATATTTACATAGCAGAAACCCACAGAGCAGGAAACGTGAGACTCAATGATGCACTAAATTAGGAACAATCATATTCTAGTGTTAATTTGCTTTCTACTCTATCCAAATTTCAGGTCCAGCAATCGGTGTAAATGCACATAAAACATTCCCATTTTTAATGATTAAGAACCACAATCCGCAAGCAGCTCTGCTCAGAAGTAAATCTACTCACTGCTAGGGACGTTTGCAGGATCAACCCCCCCAAAAGCGAGGCATTTTTAGCAGCACAGAGATTTTCTGAAAACTGAATCTTCCTCAGCTGTTTACCCCTTTCCATCAATTATGCCTGCACAAGCTGTTGGAGTCTTCTGCCCATCTACCTGCCTTTTGCTGGCAAATATTTTCTTTTGGTGGTGCGACTCAGAAGCAGCTTTAATTCACCGATTCTGCAGAGATATATGTGTGTACTCAGAAGGCTCTGTGCTCAAAAAATTAAGGTTAAAACGGGGAGAGAAAAAGACAGCCAGGTTATTTGTAAACACACTGGTGCCACATTTATGATAAATACACACTCTACAGACTCGATGCAGATACAGATTTTAAAAGCATGACTCCCTATGCAGCATGCTTTGTAAGACAAACGCAAACAGCCACCACCAATCTCTCTAAATTTTAAACATTGTTTAAATTCACTTTCCACAACATCATATAACAAAATATTTACCTTTCCTAAACGCTGATGTTCTTCAAAAGCAGAAATCAGTTCTTGCGCCCACTTTATTTTTTCAGGGCTGGGAGAGAACTGTTCCTGGACAACAGCAATTTGGTTAGGGTGAATCACCTGCTTACCTACAAAGAAGATTAATAACACCAGAATCATGCATCGACAAACAGATGTTCAAGCAAAATGTTCCAACCACTTGAGGCTCTCCTATGCCTCGCAGACTTTCTGCTCCTGAACTAATTATTTTACTTGTTTTCTTTTATTATTTAACTGGACTACGTGCCAGATTTTTTAACAATAAAAATATCTGGCGCAATACTTGCATTTAGTATGTTTGAAGGGACCCAGAATTCTTTCTCCTCCCTCCTCATTTCAGTCCATACATCTTCCATGGTTCATCTCAGGTGGAACTGTTGGTCTGGGGAAGTCAGCAGTGCTAGAGCACAATGCAACTCTGAATTTTACCTTTATAAATGGCACTGCCAGTCACTCGTAAACAAATTGCATAAAGTGTGTTCAGAAAATGAGGTTTATCGAACTGAAAAGTTTCCGGCCATGCAGGGATCGTTCCCTCAGTTCTTAGCACTGGCTCTGCATCATGCGATGCTCAGGGCTGCTTATGTTTTTGTTGTGGTTCACAGGTGCAGGTAGGCTGGGGTATTTGTTTAGCCACCGGTATATTAAACTGCTGCCAGAGGTACCCTGAAGTGTTACGAAGAACTTTTTATTAATCCTTTCTTGTATGAACATACAGTAGGAAAATAAAAATAGGTGTAGCCTTCTTTTTTTTTTTTTTCCTACCAGAGATTTTCCAATGCGAATAGACAGCCACATAATCCGTTCTAATCTGTTATTGTACTTAGCCACATTAAAACAAATACATATCTAATTTGTTTGACAGTTTTCAAAGTGTGGCACTCGACGTTATTAGCCCGTTTCTAAGGGAATTTCACAGGCAACGTGATGGCTGCACGATCCCCTGCGCCGTGCCGTGGGAGTGCTTCAATAAAGCGGGGCTACTGCAGCCTCAAGCCTCGCCGTGACACAAATTAATCCCTCTATGCCACACGGCAGAGCGGGTTGCAGCCACGAGCCCCATCCCCAAGCCTTTCACGCCTCCCAGCCCTACAGTGGGGCACCTCGGGCTAGGCTGAGGGTCTGGGGCCGCTGCCGTGCCCCATGTTGGGCCCACGCCTCCTGCAGCCCTCGTGCGGTGCTCAGGGACCCCTGGGGTCCTCAGGAAGCTCTGGGGTGCGGCTCTGGGGTGACACTGGCACTGTGGGCAGCTGCCCACGGCATGCGGCCCGGCCTGGGGAAGAAACACGACCCTTCCATTGGGCTCCTGGATGTGAAGCTAGAAATAAGCTCATTGCTACATGCAATAGATCCCGTACCACAGCACACGCGTGCCACTGTTTTAAACAACAGAGTGGAGAAAAGATTCCCACCACCGGGATTCCTTGTGTCAGCCTGCAATGGCTCTCTGATAAATGTGTGCCATGAAAGGATTGTGAGTGCTTTCTTTTGATAGAAAGCAATTGTAACTCTTCAGAGTTGCCGCGTTTCTTTAAAATCCACAAGTCGTTCGATTTTATTTTAGTTCCCATTAAACAGTTGCTGGTTTAAGATCTCGAGGGCGGCCAGATACTCTGTCTCAAATCTTAATATGGCATATATTTCACAATAATCTGATTTTTTTTTTTTTAAAGAAAGAAGTTATAGGCAGACAAATTCCCTGAGCTAATGCTTTACATTCTTTCTAACGAAATGTATTTTAGTCGCTTTAATTAAATGTCACTACTGATAAGCTCATGGTGTTCCTTATTTTTAATATGATGCATTCTAAACTAATTCTAAAGAGGGAGAGTGGACAAGTAGTTCCTGCAAAATGCTGAAAACCTAACTTTCTGGAAGAAACAAAGAACAGATTTTAATTTGTGTTTAAAATCACAACAAAAATAAAAACGCAGGTACGATTTTTTAAGGTGTGAAACATTTCCGTGAGAAGATTTTCTTCTGATACAAATATCCATAGCAGGAAGCTGTACTTTGCTTCATTAAAACATTATCAAACAATTTACAGAGAAGAAAATCGAGCCTTTGATTTATAGCACTCAGTGGATTTTTGTCACAGAATTATGTATCCAAATAACTGCATAATAGACGTAATGCCATGCAGGAATGAAGCAAATATTTTAAGTGGAATTGTTGTTATTGACAAGTTACCGAGAGAGTGCAAAATTGGAATACATTAAAATTTATGACCATGAAATCCTTTTTACAGTACCTCTTGATATATCGTGCTTTAAATCAATACCTGTCAAGTCTTTTAGGTAACTGTATGATGGTGTCGTTTTAGCCTTCTACAAAAGACTACAAAAAGAGAGGAAACCTATAGAGTTTCGTATTTGTATCTGGCTTCTCAGCATGGAGCACAGGACTTTCTATAATGACTAAGTCGGCTGTTAAAGCTTGTCGTAGGTCTTCCTTAATTTTTTGCATAAACTTTTCTAAAACTGATGACCATCTACTTAGGCTGCATGCTGGCTTTAAGTCCACAGACTCCGGCATTGTAAAACATCCTGTTGTATGTGCATGTGCGTGTGTATATTAATAAATACACAAAAGATATATTACACTGGCTAAACTACAATTGAAAGCAATCAATTTTATGGAAACACAGTAGCCGACGAAAAACCAGGCTGTTTGAAAGCTAGCTGGAAAAAAACTTGGCACTGAGGGTCACAGCAGTAACCAAATAGACGGTAAATTCTTCACTATATTATTTAACTTGTTAAATTGTCAGTGAACACGCGTGATTACTTTAGGGATAATTCTGTTCTACTGGTTTCTGAATACAAGAAAATGCAAGGACGTGTAACTTTGCTGAATACATGGAGTTTATGATTACATTTGAGAGAGGTGAATGTGGCCCTATGCGTTTTGCCAGTTACCAGGTAATTGGTGAGCTTTCCCTCATTTTAGTCCTGTTGATTCCAGTGATTTAGATTACATGTGAAAAAGTAGAAAGATGTGATCGCAAGTAGTAAGAAATAACAAGAATGATGTGTTTAGAACTTGTTATGAAGGCAGTGCTTCAGGATTTTATTATCGCATTATCCGACAACTGCCAGTGACAAATGTGATGTATTTTATAGAAGGTCATGGATTAAGCTAGGGCCCATTTGTAAATTTCTGTGATGAAAATTAAATTGCAAATATTAAAATGTTTTTATTTTTATAGTTTTTGAACCAAAATGTTTTTCCTTTTAGTTTGGAAGTGACATTTTAATTTAGCTAAACTAAGCAAAAAACAAAGATTAAGTGAACTGCAAGCAAAAGAAAGAGAAAAGACAAGGGAAATATTTTTGATAGCCCTCAAATATTTTTTCTTTACCAAAAATTAAAAAAAAATCTGTTTTGTTTTGAACAATTTTTTAATACTGACCCATCTCTGTTTATGATGGGAGTGTTTGTCAGGCTGCTTGCTGCCCTTCTGAGATATGGTGATCAGAACTGCAGAGAGGCAGAAGGCAAAGAGCTGTGAGTTTCTGTTGGTGAAGCTGGTACCTTACACACAGCTTTATTCTTTATGGGTGCGTTAGATGCCAACTTGATGCTCTAAATTGCCACATATGACCTTTTTATTTTTCTCCTATCTGGACCCTATTCTCATGCTAGAAAGCTTCCTACAGAAAGTCAGAGGAGTCCAAAACCCCATCAGTGCTGTTTATGCTTTACGATTTAAAATTTTCCAAACTGGCAGCCTGAGCAAAGTATTTAAAAGCACATTAAACATTCAGAAAGATTGCTCTCAAAGGTGCTGGGCATCTGCAGCTCCATCTTCCGTCAACAGGAGGTTCAGATACTTAAATTTTTCAAAAATCAAGCCCTTCCCTAAACTAGAAAAGATTGGTCTCGATTACGTAGCCATCAGCAGGTGCTACCATTCAGGAGCTCCATTATTTTCCCACTTCAATAGCGGACGAATTGAGGGTGGCAGTCCACACGGACACAGATAATGTTGTGTAGCTGTGAGGAGCTCCTGCTCTGCCTCTGAAACGAGATGTGCTTTTACAACTGCTGAAGCTCAGCAGACGGGGAAGCAGAGTTTGGGCTGAAGGGAATCGATGTCTTTTTTTTTTTACTATCGAGTCCAGATCACTTGAAAGAACACTTTTAAAAGGACGCTCGCTGCATTTGGTTACTTTGCTGAGTGCTTTAAGATGTCATATGCCATTAACTGTAAAAATGCAGTGTGCTGAAGCACTTCCTTTGCTAACAAAACCCGAGCAGCTAAACGATTGCTATGCATACACCCTGAATGACAGTCACAGACGAATAATATAAAACGTCAGCGCTGAATCCTAGAATTCTATAATGCCTGTGTCAAATGGCTGATTTCTATTGCAAAAACACAATCTTTGGTGGCTGCACTGTCCCACCAGGGTGTCCAAGTGATCTGGTACACCAATCACAGGGTAACAGGCTGCATTACAGGGCTCTGTTGCAAGGAGCCTGCTGGTCTTGCTGTCTGCCAATACCCGTAGGTGTCACCAGCACTTACTGGGAGGGGAGCCAGGAGATGAAAAACAAATCAAAGAAAATAATAAAGAAAGAACTTTCCTGTAGCAATTAGCGTGCAAGGTTTGCTTATCAATTCCCTCACCTAGCAAGTGCTTGTTTTAAGCAACTGCTGCTTAAAAAATATGCAGAAGGGATCTGAATATCTTTAAAAAGTGACTGTGGATTGAGCATTGCAAAGTACAGTATCACTTGTCCCGTACTCTGTGACTGGAGGAATCACATCCTGCATACCCTCTGCCCCAACCTCTCTTCAAAATTCAGTCATATGCTTCAAGGGGTGTAGTTTTAAAAAGCAACCTGAGACTTTTCAGGCAAAATTTCCAGGCACAACTGTAAGGGTGCTAATAAATGCATATGAGCTTGGTGTCACTTAGTTTTTAAAGAACTGACCTGTAATAAAAAAGCAAGTTATTTGTCAAAGTAATGTGAATTACTTTGTCAAATATTTGTCAAAGAAATGTAGCAATATCTTGAAATTGAAGAATATAGGCATTATTTTCAGACATTGGCAGAAATCCATACCAGTGAAGCCCATTGAGGCACCTTCCTTTGATTGCCTACGGAGCCCATCTTCATCTCGGAAATCAATGTAAACCAGGTCTATTGCTTGGAGGCCAAATGCCTTTGCTGTGACTATTATTTTCTGCCTGGCATACAAAATATCGTGAGTTTCCTTATTGCTTGTTGCACCTATGAAAAGAAAGAAAACAAAGAAAAGATGACAATGCTTAAATCTTTCTTTCTTTAATCTTTTGTAAGGAAAAAAAAAAAAGAAAGAAAGAAAAGAAAATCTGAGATTTCGTTTAACTGATTTGGGAAACAAAAGTGGATCTCAAGGCTGTACTGTAAAACCGATACTCCCGGGGAAAAAATAAGCTGCTTTAGCAAAAGGAATAAATCTCTCTTTATAGAGTCGCTTGTAGAATTCAGATTTTGACTCAGTTCGAATCTGAAGTTGTAAGCATGAAGTCGATGGAAGTTTTGGCTGGTAAGGACAACAGAGTTGGGACTAACGTGCAGTAATGGCCTTATTGTCTTACTATATGTGCAGCAAGAAGCACTAAAGCAAGGGAAGCTTTCTGCAGTGTGACACGCCGGCTACAACTAAATGGTTAAAAAATTCACACTGAGAGCAGAATTGCACTTTCCTTGGTTGTGATTCTTGTCACAACGGATGTCCTAAGCTGAATATTTAAGCTTTAGTATTTGGATGAAAAATGATGGTAGATGACCGAGAGGAACCAAAAGTATTCACAAGACTTGACGTGTTCACGGTGCACCAGCTAAGCAGCATTCTCATGTGAAGGCTGATGCAAAAAAATAATAATACGTTCCTTTCCTGAGGGTCACTGTTTAGATGCAGATTTCCAATTTGTTAGGAATAATTTAATGAATCAAGGCTAATTTTTATATTAAAATTTATTTTTAATTTAAACGTCTGCAGCTGTGAACTAATATCTTTAAACCGAATCAGACTAATGAGGAGATAAGTGGCTTCTCATAAAAAAATTCAGAACAACTTTTCATTTTCAAGGAAGATTAATAGTGTTTTTACAGGAAAATATGCTAGGGATTACTGTATTGACACAAGGCATATTTAAAGCAAATTTATTATAGCAAAATATGACACGAGAGTATTTGCAGATGATGTCAAAATCCCAAGTGATAACTGACTCTAGATCAGAGATAAAGCAGACAGCAGAATTTTAAGATTTTTAACATAGTTCTTAAAAGCATGTGCATGTTTCTTATGGGTATGGTATTTTTAAATAATTTCAGTGACTCAACAGTTTGCCTTGATTTTTTATTTTGTTAATTTTTGCTACTGCATGGCAGAAAGCAAGAGGAAGTGTCAGTGCCCTGTAATACACAGGAACCACATTTTAATTTCCCAGTGATACATTCCGCATTGAAAAAAAAAATAAAAATGGAGAAAAGGGAATATGTAAAATGCAGAATTATTACATTAATTATCGCTGTCAGTAATGCAATGGAGATAAACTGGGTTTCTCCATTGCAAATGCCATTAACCACTATAGAAAAGAAACACGTAACAACCTATGCTGGCACGGAAATCCTCTCCTCCAAAGACGACTGCATCCAAATGAAAGCCAACCCGGGATCCTGTTCTCAATGCTTCTTCACAGACAGCCTACAAACGGGAGCATGTTGTTAATTTGTATAGAAATGCAGGAAGCAGAGAGACTAAGAGGATGTTACATCAACTCAGTATTACCAAAACCTGGTGATCCTTTGGTTAAAATTGCTCCTGCTAAGTAAAACCACTGTAGGTACTCAAGTGTGCACAATGCTTTAAAATGACTCAGCAGAATAGAAAACATTATCTTGCCCTGAGCACCTATATGCCTCCAGTGTGGAGATGCAGGACATCACAAGAGCTTCATTGCCTCTTGGCCGGAGCTTACCGTAATGCCCTTGCAATTGCTGCCCCGGATATTCAGGTAGCAATAAGGAACAAAACACCCCTCAAAGGCTGCTTAAAAGCAAACAAAAATTATTATGTTTAATCAGTTTAACATGTAGCAGCACTGCCCGAGAAAAAGAAAGATTGGGATACTGGTTATAAAATTAACAATTTCAGCGGCTTAAAATGGTTGTGGATTCCTTTTCGGATAAATTGTCAATTTAAAGGCTTCTGCTACATCTAACTAAAAAGTAGCTAAGGAAGTTAAAAATGCAACAAGTATCACAGAAAAGTATTAAAGTGAAAGCAAGCAGAATTTTGTTACCGTACCTATAGATAAAGAAGTGCATTTCCAGTCTGTTACTGTTTTATATTGACCTCCGTAATATTAATTTGTTAAGGATTAGGTATGCGGAGAGGGAGAGAAGTAATTACAAACTCTGCTAGTGGGTGTTCTTACATGGCCGCTGGTGGGACACAAAATTATTATTAAGCCGAATGCTTTAAAAGGCAACTCTGCTGCCAACATCAAGGGCCGCAGCATCAACCGCCCCCCCGACTCCCCCCCCCATAAAATACTGCAGTCGAATAAAAACCAGTTGCAAATGCAAGTTCTGTGCCCGCGCCCTGAAACGGGAGCACGCTGCCTGGTGATGTTATGACGTGCAGGGAGGTACGTGGCTGCGCCAGGCGGAGGCTGCCGGCAGCTCCCGAGCTGCTCCTGCCCTGCGTGCCCTCAGCTGGCCCCAAGCCTTCCCCATCCACTTTGGGGGAGCCCCACGAGTGCCTCCTCCTCGTGCTGCCTCTCCTTGCTGAAAACCTGCGCTGGATGTGAGAGGTGGTGGGGAGGGACCTATATTACAAAGCACTGTAAATGTAAGGCTTGGTTGAAACCACCCTTCAGATATTTGATATTTTTTAAGTTAATTGCACTTTTAATCTTAGCATTAAACTCCCTGTTGTACGCATGAAAAAAAAAAAAAAAAACAACTGCAAAGTGAAATCTGGCTGAAACTGTGTCAGTAGAAAATTATACCGCTTTAGCAGCAATGAAATGAGGATTGTTCTTTTTTCTAATTAAATGCTATATCAAAGTCAAGCTCGACAGCTACTAAATAGTCGTTTATCGCAGCAGCGTGTGTGCTCCAGATCCTCAGAGAAGCAAGTTTCCTGTTACAAACGCGGGTAGGAAATGCAGATGGGTTTCCTCAGTTGGCAAGGAGTATGTAGAGCTGTTCCTCCACCAAAATATTTTGGATTTATGAAGGCCTTTGCCGTATAAACATGACAGCTAGGCATCCAAATGTCGTAGCGGACTGAAAAACATGTTTACCATTTTTTAGCCTCTCTTCCTTGAGGAAATCATGCCGGGACAACAGAGCTCTCTGCTTATCTCGGAGGCTGAGAGGGCAAAACACCAACGCTTGGACCGCACCCAAACCTACTTACCTTAAAATTGAGCAACCCCACCGCGGTTTCCACAAATGGGATAAAATGCATTGGTTCTGCAAGTGTTCGGCCTTTCGAGTGATGTGCGAATTTGTCTGCAAACTAAAACCAGACAACGTGAGGCTTCGGCGAAAAAAGCACGCGCGGGCACGTGCAGCACTTTACATCTTTCACCTGGCTGCAACGCCGGCGCACAAAAAGCCCCAAAACTCAGAAGACGTAATTAAAAACCGCCGAGAGAGTTGGGGAAGGTCTGTGCCGAGGCGTGGGCTTTGCACCTCGTGTCCTAGGGCGTGCTGGTGGGGCACAGCCTGCCCCAGTCATGGGGCACACACAGTGCCGCCCTGCCTGCCTCGGGTCGGGCACCGCACGGCCGCTGAGGCATCTGCATGGCTCGTTACGGCACCGCTGCCCTTTGTTCGCCGGGCTTTTCTTCATAATTTTTAGCTTACCTAGGAAGGCCTCAAAAAGGAAGTTTAATTCTTTGAAGACCAAAGCTTTCCAATTTTTTCCATGAGACCAGTTCACAGCTAGCTCTGAGCTGCCAGTGGGGTAGCCCAAATTCCAAAATCTATCATCTGGAAACATACAAAAGCTCTAGCACAGATTTTTCCCTTTTCAAAAGGGGGAAAAAAAAGGGGGGAAAAGAAACCCTCGGTCCTATATTGTAAATCTATTATGTCGGTCTAGATCTGGCAGTTTGTGAGGAGATAAACATACTGCAGGTATGGCAAAAATATCGTAATAAATAAAGACAAAAATAACATATGCATATATTTTAAATTTAAGGAATATTCGACTATTAATGGATATCAAAGGAAAGGGAATTTTAATCATCTCTCCATTCAGTCTCAGTTGGGTAAATCATATCTAAGAGATTTGCATAAATATAAACCATCAAAGACTTTTCATCTTCAAAGGGGGTTTCAAGACCCTATAAGCTTTGTACTGTAATCATCGCAGGTCACAACCCTGCAGGAATAAGGCTGCTATGGCAACATAAAAAACTAATGCTTAAGGCTTAGCATAATATTCTGACTAATAGAAAGGAAACTCATTTTAAAAGCTGGCAGCCTATTTACCAGAAGCTGGATTAGAGGTGTTATTTCCCCTTTTAGCTTCCCCCCACTGCCCCTCCCCAAAAGAAGGAAAATCTAATCACCGAGATCTTTAAAAAGCTTTCGAGCAATTTGCAGTAACTTTACAATTAGGCCAAAATAAATCACAGCTTTCTCTGACAAAGAATTCTGCCCTTCCCGTCCCTGCTTTGCATCACCAGCGGGGCCCTCTCCACAACTTTTCCTTGGAGAAGGGACTTCCACCAAAAATGTGCCAGCAAGAAAACGCGAGCGCAATTCACACGTGCAAGCGTACGACTGGGCAGGTACTGTGGCAGCACAACATGCAAACTCTGTGCAGGCAAGCACAGAAAATGAGGTAATCAAACCGCATCAGTGTATGCTCTTAAGGCTCCCAGCCATAGAAAAAAAAAAAAAAGAAAAAGTGCTACTGCGTTTATATTTCAGGTGCGAGTTAAAGATGCGGAACTCTTAAAATATTTTAAAAGTCACTCTCTGGGATTTTTGACAGCTTGTGGTTTGTTGGCAGGTAAATGAAAAATGAAGAAGGTTTAATTAAACGGCGACTCCCTTCCTCTCCCTTTAAAAAATTTGCAATAAGCACCGCTACAAAAGGTAACTAGTGGAGAAGTTTCAATTAATTTTTTTCAAAAGGAGACGATTAAATGTTTCCGGCCTGGTAAAGTGTTCATTTCAGGGAGAAGGGGGGAAAGGAGAAGGCGGAGGGAAGAAAACAAAGCTCGGGGAGGGGATGAAGTAGCAGGCCCCCGCAATTCTTTCAGTTCCCGTGCACACCCAATAGTGTGTTGGAAAGAATGCACACTGTTCGGGATTTGTGGGAGAATTGTCCCGCCACAAAGGAGGGAGAGTTACGCTTGTTATAGTCCAATAAGCCATGCCAGTCAAACAAGTACCCACACTAGGGACAAAAGGAGAGCAAGAGATTCTCACACAAAAGAAAACAAGTAAGCCCATCTTTTAGTTGTGCATCAGCCTCCAGGTTTTATGCTCCGCATAAATAAAAATGAGGGGGGAAAAATAAACAGCTTCTCTTAGGCTGGGAGCCTGGAAAAGAAGCGGGCAGGAGCGAAGCCGCAGGATCTCTGAAACGCGCCGGTGTCATTCAGCAGAGCACGCTCTTTGTGCGCCTGGGCTCGGCCGTGTGCGAGCCGGTGGCCACGGCAGCAGGCCCGAGGAGAGGCGGAAGGGATGGGGAGTGGGGGGACCTGGGCCTCACCCGTGCCCAGAGCCCGCCTCGTGGCTACGAAGACCCGCCATTTTGGCAGCACGAATGTTCACGTGTGATGAGCAATGCCCAGAGCTCACAGGGCTGCTCGAGGCACACAGCCTCTGTTGCGGCAAACAAATGTTGTGGCCCATTGGCTGCTGTGGGGCTGGGCGCGGGATGGATGCGCTTGCTCAGGGTGCCCTTGCGTGTTGTCGGCAGCATGTGATGGAGGCTCAGTGTCAGGACGACAGTTGGCACGAGGGCATCTCCCAGCTTCCCAGTGCAGCCAGCCTGCTGGCTCCGCCACAACGCCAGCCCGACGCATGGAACGACTGCTCCTGCACTGGCACCGTGCAGCAGTCACGGCTTACCCAAACAAATGTCCCCCTTCTTGACAATTAAAACAATTATAGCGTAATTAGGCCTATTTCAAAGTTTTCTTAAGTAATCTGACATACCAGCCATTTACATTTCAGGTTTTTATTGGCTGAAAAGTCAGTCATGAAACACAAACACACCTGTCAGCAATTAAAAAGGAAGAAATAGAGAACTGCTCAGGAAATAATATCTGTGCTAATTAAAAACAGTAGTTAAAAGCTTCCTGTTTGTTCCTCCATTTGCCCCCAGGAGTGACCTTCCCCCCCCCGGCGTACTTTTCACATGTTGCTAGCATGCTTTCCCCTGCTCCCTCTTACAGGGCGTGCAACTATGGCACATGGCCACAGACAAGCATTTCAATGGCAGAATATTTAAATGAGAGTCAGATACCAATGCAGCTACTTTTCAAAATATGCTCTAACTCTTCACTGACTATAGGAGAAATAAATCTAGTATTCTTTACAAAGGCTATGCACTCCACATATGCTTTTCATGTAGCACATTGTACACACATTTAAACAGAAGCACTTCCCAATTACCTTACTCAAGCAACAACAGGACATGGCACTCATGACACATCAGAGTCCCTTACCTCTGCACCTGGCTTAACTTGACCCAGCAGCTTCAGTCAAAAACCACCACATTGTTGGTACATGGTTAGCTACTCACCCATTTAACTTCTTCCACACTTTCAACCTTTGGCAGCATCAGACTTGAAGGAAGAGTCTTGGACTGCAAAAGCACCTCTAGATCTTCCTCCGCAAGGCCACTGGACACGGAGTTTATCCTCACACACTTCTCAGCACGGCCAATGTCAAACTCTTCAAGCGTTTTCACAACTGTCAGCCTTGCTTCTCTCTACAATATATATATACACATACACATACATTCAAAGCCACAGAGAAAGAGAAAAAGAAAGCTTGTTTTCTACTGACATTTTTATAAGCTGAACAGAAAACTCACAGAAATGACATGGGGAAAAAGCTAGGCAGCCAGTGTACTTTTGTCCCCAACAAGTCTGTCACTCCTGGTTCTTTGTCAAAGCAGTCATCAGCAGCACCTTGCAATTCTGCAATTTTCAGTTCTTTGTAACCAGCAAATAAAAGCTCAGTTCATGCCTAAATATTTTTCAACAGCCACTTATGGAAAACATCCATCTCTATTATAATTACTAAATACATCTAACAAATGTGAATCTGTCTACTAACTATAATATATTATGCTAAGTCTATGCTCACAACAGCGGAGCATTAATACCTTTGCTTAAAACAATTCATTTTTGTAATCCATCTCCATATTGCCTGTGCTCAAATATCAGTATCAGTAAGTATAGATGTACATCTCTTTCTTTGGTTCTGCTATGTGAATCTTCCTTTTCTCCATGTATAAAAGGTGTATTAAGGCTCATAGCAGGGTTCAGAACTTGCCTTTGAAAACAATGCCACAACAATGATTTATAGGTTTTCATGAACCATGTAAAAAGATACTCTCCTGCTGGCACTAAATAAAATGTCCAAATACATTTGCTTCTTGTAGCCACTCGCTATTTTTTGTGAATGTAAATTTATAAACTTGCTGAATATTTGATATACATGAAGAATACTTGGGTATTTTTCTGAAATGCAGTGCTTTTATTGGCCTCAAGAAGAGGAGTGGCAGTGACAGAAGAGCACTGTTGGTCTCCCTCACTTTCTGCCCATTTCAGATTCGGCAACAAATTCCTCCCACTTGCCAACAGGCCCTAACAAATCCTCATTGTCAAAATGAAGGTTTATCAAAAGTAATTTCATTATTGAAGAGCTTTTGTGGTCCTCATAAAACTTTAAAGCTGCTGACTTGCAAATGTAAAGAAACAACTATAACACTATGCAGTTGCTGGAGAGATACTTTGCAAGAAAACAGGCAAACTTGGAGGAGAAAAAAATCATCAAAGCTAACATTCAGGCTAATACCAATCAGTGAGATGGGACACAGTAGTAGAGTTAAACCAGACGGCTACAACTCTGTGCCTTTGCAGGGGCCTTAATTGGAGACACAGGGCACACGAGTATGCATCTTTGTACAGGGTCACTCTCAGAGGTAGTCTCTGTAAAATCCAGCCCAAAAGCGGTCATAAGTGGGCTCAGGAAATCTGTGCAAAGATGCAGGGAGTTCCCTGCAGCCAAGGCCAGTTTGCCTGAATGTTATGAAGCAGGCTGCGCGATGCTGCCCAGCACACACCCACCTCCCTGTCCTTCTCAAGGCGGGGTGGCTCGTGCCTATGTTGGGCCAAAGGTTTCTGGACGTGATGCAGAGCGGTATCTGAAATGCATTCTCCAAAACAATTTATGCTTTTAATTAAAGCCAGATTATCACCGTCTCAGCACACACTGATCCAATTTGCAAAATAAAGCTCTCCCAAAATTATCCACTAAGGCAGCATCCAATTCCAACTGAAGGCACATCTCTCGAAAACTTGTAGTCTAATTCATTACAATTTTTTCAGATTATAATAATGAGCAGTAGAGCATCTCATTAGCTATTTTTCTCCTCAGGCTGCAAACTCCCTTCCCAAAAAAGACAGATCGTGTCTTTCTAGGTATATTTCCATACAAAACACTTATTAACAGGCTGTTGCTGTTATCAATTTACATAAACTAAATGTGCAGCCCTCTGGTACATATCCCAAAAATAACTAACAACTTCACTGAATTTATACCAACCAACAAACATGGGGAGGGGGTTGTTGTTTTTTCCCATATTTTAATAGAAAATATGTTGCTATGTTAACACACCCATGCCATCTGTTGGGCTGAGAATCAATGCAGTTTCTTATAGCCACTACATTTTAGATCTGTCTGCCTAGATACCCCAGGAACAGAAACATCTCCCTTCCACGATAAACCTCTAGTCACTGTAATTTCTGAATCAGGAACGGGCATTTTTATTCATGGGACAGGCAGATGGACCTGGTACTCCAAGTCAGAGACCTCTTGAGGGGACTGACCCTGTGCCTGCCCTTCCTACAATAGGGAAAATCCCACTGATGTTAGTGGCCCTGCTTGGGATTCCAGGAAAAAAACATCATGGTTGAATTATAAAATCTACCAAAATCTCTGGGCAGCATGAACTAAAAGCATGGAGGAAAAGGAGATCACCTTCTGCCTCATTATGCAGTGAAATGTAAATACAATTCTAATATGCAGACAAAAGCTGAGATTTTAAGCTAGTTGATCTACTTCAATGATGTAATAGTAGAGAAAAAAAAAGTACTTAATACAACGTTTTTGTTAAATAGATGCAAGAATAAATGCATTTTCCAAAGTAGAGTCCTTGTCAAGACTGGTCAAGCTAGAGTGTATCAACAACAGCGGAAGAAATTATTTACCTATTCTTCACCTTACAGCATTGGACAACTCTCTGTCCTGAACGGGTAAAGAAAAAACTTGGCCGTGAAACAAAGGGGTCCACTCTGGGACTGTGGTACTCCATTAGGACCCATAGGTTGAGTTCTTATCAAAGTGATCAAGGAAGGATGACAACCGAGAGAGTCTGTAGTAAACAGTGATATTAAATTACACTAATATTATTATATATTATATGCTGATATATCCTAAACTGGCTACTTGTGCTGGAAAACTTTTTGAGAAAAAATGTTGGTCAAGGTGACTGTAGCTCCTTTTGTGTCTCTTCTGTCTGACTCAGAGGGGGACGAGGGGAGATTTCCATTCCTGCATGCAGCTACGCCAACTGGGGAGGATAAAGCCTTTGGTGATGCTGCATCGCAGATGAATCAACTGCCAACAGGACACGCAGACACCGAAATTAAAGACGGGAATACGCAAGTAGCAGTCTCAATTGGCACCCATTAAAGCTAATCACTACCCATCCTCACGAGTTGCTAGCTCTGAATTATCAAATCTGCAAAGAAAACAACATCCGTCCACTTTTACACTCCAGTGGAAGAGGTGGTCCCTCGCGGCAGGGCTGCGCAGTCTCGCCATCTGGAGAATAAATCGAGTGTGAAGTACAGTATAGTTTGGGACCAAGCTCCGTGGCGGCAGCCCAGCAGCGAGTTCATTAGTTCTAAACTTGCAGGGATTAGTGCGGTGTCGGGGCAACTGTCGGGTGGGATCAGGCAGGCAGAGCACGAGACTCAGGGAGGGAGGTGGTGGCAGGGAAGGAGCCCCTGGGCTTGCTAATGGAACCAAGTACAAGCACACCTAAATGGGTGCCCTAAGTTACAGCATTAGCATCATCTCCTGGCATCTCAATCTGTACCTTTACTTCTTCTTCTTCTTCTTTTTTTTTTTTTTTCTGTTTCTTTAAGTTGTATGCCAATGCATAGAGATTTCCATTATGAGACAGAAGGGATGGTACAGGAGTGGAAGTCCAGCCACCCACTCACCACGGACACACTGTTAATAAAGAAATAACGAAATGCAGGCACTGGAATTAACAGAATACTGGGGACAGAAACAGCAGAGAAAAATTACATTTTCTTCTTTCTTTTCAAACTGATGCAACACCCCTCAGACCAGTTTTCCGGCACTGTGATTCCCAGAACTGTATGATCTAAGGAGAAGTGGGAAGGAGCATATACACACATAAACGCATCTTATTACTCTTGAGTTGTACCTATTTTGCTCCATGTTTCTTGTACATTCTTACCCTTTGGTTTCTCAAGACCTTGAGGTCTCAACACAAAGATAGTGGGTATACCTAAAGGCCTGTGTATGTAGAGCTCTTGTCCTGTTAACTTCCTTCTGTAATCATTCTTCATATAGAAACATAAATACACAACGCACGAAAATGGCAGTCCAGAATATATCCTCCTTGCAGCCATAATGAGTTTGTGTGTCTCAAATGGCGGACGAAAAATTAATTACTATAATCGCAATTCAAGTTATTTTTTGTGACAGGTCTGACACGATAAAAACATACAATTATGTGTTAATGTTACTTCCCTGGAGTGGTTTGTTTACAGAGCTTGACATCACGGAATCTTTTGTCACTTATATTAGTGCAAAAAATGCAACACTCAAACATGGTTCTGCAGACGTGCATATTTGGATTTTTGGACAAAATTACATTTTTGTAAAGAGAAAGCCTGACATTTTTTACATACTTAGTCTCCATCAATAAAGTGTTGCCATACAGAATGGTACTTCATTTAGTTTCAAATTCTCAAATGAGTTTGGCAAGAGAAGGGAAAAATTGTGTTCAGTTTTAAGAAAACAAAGAAAACTGTAACTGCAAAACAGAACATTGCCGAGCATGGGAGGTCCTTGCTTCATACCTGTTTTCTACTTCATATGCTTCCGTTGTTTGTGAGAAGCAATCCTTGAGATGGCAATTATTTTTTTCTAGCTAGCCTTGTTAGACTGTAAAACTGCTGCAAAAAATATGTTTATTGCAAAGCTTTCAGGAAGCCTCTATTTAATCAGGTCTTATAATTACCTTCTAGATCAGATTATAATTCGAGAAATTTTTAATATTAAGTTTTTTAAAACACATTTTCTTTTGTTTTCACAGAGAACGTGTCAAAGCCAACATGTAATCTTAAAAGAAAGAAGGGGCAGGAGTGGGGAGGGAGAATAAGGCCTCCATGTGTATGGCTGTATCTCTTCTCTGCACTTTAGGCAAAGGTGCATTTAAGCACTCTGCAAGAGTCTGGTTTTTCTGCTACTCTCTTGTAAAATCTTTGAAATCTTTCTTTAAGAATGATTTGGTCTACCCAAGTCCTTTATTTTTTATACAATCCTTTTCACTCTTCCGAACAAGAGATTCATCGTAACATAATGACTCATCTAACTCGGTGCATCTCTAGCATCTGCTGCTTTTCTCTCTGCTCTGCTAATTGTCTTTACATGTAGTAC